AGCTGCTGAGCCCTGAACGAGAAAAACATGAGTCTGACATGTTTTATGCGACATCAGCCAGATGTTTAACATTAAATATCCACATCATCTGAATATTTGCATACTGAATTTGCGATATGTTGCTTTATTAGAGCAGATTGTGGCAACATGCATACATTCATTGATTCATTCATTTAAATGTATTTATTTTTTTAATATAAAAATATATATTTTTAAATTTGTTTAACAAGGAAAAAGCTCCTCTGAGATTATTTTTTTTACAGGGGTTTAAAAGACATAGGAAGACAAAATAGCAGAAAAAAGACTAATAAAATAACATACATAAATTAAACAACATTAAAAAACATTTGTAGATTCAATCACTAAATAATGAATTTCAAATGTTTCAAAAACACCAAATTATATGAGTTTATTCCACCCCGAAACACCAGTTATTTGCTTTTTAAATTATTTTTTGTCAGTACAATTAAAACGATATTTGTCACGATCTCTAGCTGGAGTTCCCGTGAGCTTCGCTAGAGGGCACTCCATTACAGACTCTTGCCTCTTTTCCCCGGACTTCATTACAGAATACTGAGCCATACCCAGATCCAGCAACTTTATTCAGTTATCCAGGCCAAACATGAATCCAGCAGCACAAGTTATGCGACTCCGTCAAGGTGAGTGGCCCATTGAGGAGTATGTGTCGGCCTTTATTGAACTGGCTCACTTAACCTCATTTGACGAGGTGTGTTTAATGATACTTTTTCGGGGAGGACTATCTTAACCACTCACTTCGTGTATGCCGCTGCACAGCCCTAACTGGACATTAGAACATTACATCGATCTTGCACTGCAATTGAGTGGTTCTGCTTTTACTGTGGGGGTCGTAGAGGAGCAACGCGATTCTTCCACAGTGTCTGCCATTCCAGAGCCTGGTCCCGCTATGGCTACCAACTCAGAGACTTTCCACAAGATGGCTGTCAATCCGGAGTCTCGTCCCGTCATGGCTGCCGTTCCAGAGTCTTGTCCCGTCATGGCTGCCATTCCGGAGTCTCGTCTAGTCCCGTCATGGCTGCCGTTCCAGAGTCTCATCCCATCGTGGCCGCCGTTCCAGAGTCTCGTCCCGTTGTGGTCGCTGTTCCAGAGTCTCGTCCCATCATGGACGCCGTTCCAGAGTCTCATCCCGTCATGGCCGCCATTCCAGAGTCTCTTCACGTCATGTTGACCATGCCCCAGTGACTCAAGGTCAGTCCCAAGGCGTCTGAGACTGGAATCCAGTAGTGGATCCACCGCTGATGTCGGTGCGAGCAGTGGGCATCCCAAGTGCCTCAGCACTGGACTTCAC